ATTTCCCAGTGTGGCTGTTCTTTCCATGTCTCTAATGGCCAGGGATAGGGAACATTTTTTTCACATATTCGTTGACCATTTGTACTTTTTCCTCTGTGAAGTGTCTCTTCATTGCTCTGGCCCACTTCTTTAGGTTTAATTTTGGTGATTCCTTGTATATTCTAGATATTAGCCCTCTGTCTGAGGAGTACCTGGAAAAATTTTTCCATTTTGTAGGTTTTTTCTTCATTTGACTTATTGATTCTTTTGCTGTACAGCAATTTTTAGTCTGATATAATCTTATTTGTTGATTTTTTTCTGCTATTTCTTGTGCAATTAAGGTTCTGTTTAGAAAATACTTTCCCACACCTATGTCTTCAATGTTTTATCTTCCAGAAGGTTTAATATTTCTGTTTTAATGTTTAGGTCCTTGATCCACTTTGATTTTAATTTAGTGCATTGCGAGAGCTAGGGGGCTAGTTTTGTTCTACAAACACAGTTTTCCCAACACCACTTGGTGAACATCTATCTTTCCTTCAACATATACTTCTGGAACCTTTGTCAAAGATCAAGTAGTTGACTATGTCTGGGGAGTTTTTTGTATTCTCTATTCTTTGACCATGTGTTCATTCTTGAATTTCATAACAAAATAATAAGAGATTAATTCTGCGTAATACATTGTGTATTGTTAACATCAAAGTAGTTTCTCGAAGTACAAGATACCAACAATAAATTCTCTCTTACAATGAAGAAACAAACAGTATTAGCACAAACCTTTCTTTTCAATGATTTATGAGAAATTATTAGTATGAATAAAGCTTATCAGCATATATATTGAAATGTTTTTGAAAAACAGAATAGGTCATTTGAGGAGCCATCTGAACCTCCACTTATGTCTCACTTGTGCCTCATTTGCATATACGATTTTGAGTCTCTCATATAAATGAAAATGCAGTATGTAAGGTTGAGTGTCCGATTTATTTCACTTAATGTTGTATTCTCAAATTCCATTCATTTACCTATGAATTCCTCAAGTTTATTTTTCTTTATGGCAGAATAGTACTCCATTGCATACAGATGTTCATTTGATTGTTGGGTGGAGAAAAGATAAGAAACAGCAGGGAAATTCAAGATGAGGAAATTCCACCGAGGGGAATTACTGTAGTCCCTGGATGGGTTATGGTGCTCCAGGGAACCGTAAAATCATGCAAGGAAAGCACACAGATTTGAGGAAGACACAGGAAGTAGCAGCCCTTGGCGCGGTTCCTGAGGCCGGGGAAGCCCCTGAGGTCCTACCTCAGTGCTGCCCTGGATAGACTTCAGCTCAGGAGACAGCACGTGTGTTACATGTCCCCTCTGTTTCTTTAGCCTAACCTCTGAACCTGACAAAAACTGGTTAAATAATCATGGAAAGAGACTCCGTTTAGGAAAAGAGAAAATTTGTTTCCTGGTCACTTACCTATTGTTGGCTTTAAAATGACCTGGATTTATTTTTAACCAAACATTTGAAGGAAACAGAAAAAGATGTGTTATACACAGGTACCGATAGTCCACAACGAAGGTGCTGCAATCCTTAGGGACTGTGGGCATGTACTAACACAAAAGAAAACACGTGGAGAGACACGAATTATCAGTCATCAAACACTAAGAAACTTTAGAGTGATAAAATATAAATACTGAGCAAGCTATTGAGATTGATAATTTTTTGTCACTTTTGGACACTACTTTGTTTCTTTCACTCACAGGAAAAAAGGTCCTTTCCAAGTGCTACATGGCCATTCTTCTAGACTTAAGCATTTGTAAAATGAGACAAAAACTTTTCTACCTCTGTAAACCTTACTTATTTATAAACCTTGTCATGTGCTGTGTTTTAGGCACAAGAAAGTTGACTAATACAATTTTTTATAATGTATTTTATATATATAATATGTAGGTTATATGGAGAGGGAGAGAGAGCAACGGAGAGGGAGAAAGAGAGGGAGGGAGAGACAGAGACAGAGAGAGAGAGAGAAGAAGAAGAAGAAGAAGAAGAAGAAGAAGAAGAAGAAGAAGAAGAAGAAGAAGAAGAAGAAGAAGAGGCAGAGAGAGGGAGAGGGAAGGAGTCACTGCTGAGACTGTGTCTGACCTTGGAGTTTAGAAACTTTCGAAGTTGTGTTGCCGGTGGAGTTATGAAAGGTTTGGAGACGTGGAGTGTAGAAGCCTCAGACTGCAGTAAACAGAGCCCAGCGGGTGACCATGGTCCCAGATCTGAAAACCCACATGAGGAAAGCAAGGGAAACTGAAAGGCAGAACCAGGAGGTTTGGGCTGGGCAGAAGGACTCTGCCGGCCTTTGGACTAGAGTGTGTGTGCTGCGCTCTTGTGGAAAATGTGCCTACATTTTCCCGTTTTCTGAGACTTTCTGAGAGACTGAGATTAGGACAATGGAATAATTAATCTGGCAGGGGAAATACCAAGATAGTCAACATTCAGGCTGTAGGAGGGATACTTCCCAGGATTTTGATCAGGTTTATAATGAGAATTAGAGGCAAAAAGTAGAGGAGAAAAACTGAAAAAATTTTGTCCCAGAAGGAAACATATGTAAAGCTGAGGCATTAGTTACATTAAAAAGAAACTAAGCAGAGACAGAGGAAAAGGGAATGAGATAAAAAAGAACAGAAAGAGAAAAAAGATGAAACTAGAGCTTTGCAAATGTGAAGAGAACCAAGAGTTGGAAGGATGGGGAGGGAGAGACCATGCAAGGAGGGAAAAAGAGAGGAAGGAAAAACAGAAGCTGTGCTAACTCCACACGACAAATGTACTCACTGCATTATGAATTGGTACTAAGAGAAGAAAGATGCCTTTAGGGCACCTCAGAAATCAAGAGCACCCCACATATTGCAGGTCCAATGTTAAATTTTGTCAGCATTTCATTTTAAAAGAGCCCCTAGGACCCCTGTTTGAGAAAATCCTCATAGGGAGTCGATTCCCAGGATTCATTTCACATGCTCAGCCATCCAGGCGGCCAGAGGCTGCGGCAGCCACGGCCCGCAGCCTCTTCCCGCCCTGGTGACAGAGCTTCGCGTTATCCTTGTGATGCTGGCAGAACGCAGCAGTGAGGTCAGTCAGCTTTCATTCCAATTTCCAGGAAGGTTCAGAAGGCAGGTAAGGAGCCCACCAGAGGGCTTGAAGTTGTGGGAATGAAGCCAAAGATGCCCAGGAGAACCCAGGAAGTTCGGGTTGCCAGGAATGTGAAGTGTTTTACAAGGAAAACTGCAGGCAGTGAATGGAGCCAGCTCAAATGAGAGCTCGTGGCTAAACTGGCAAGGTCATAGGGGTGGAGCTGCCCAAGCCATTTGGTATGATTTTTTTTTTTTTGTATGACGATTGAACTCATGACCTTGTGCTTGCCAGCAAGTGCTTGTGCACTGAGTTAAATCCCTGGGCCAGGGTGACGTTGCTTCAGTCCAGTTCTCTTCTCTCGCCTTATTCCCCCTCTTTGGGATGAAACATTTACCCTTTGTAATTATGTAGTATATATTTTTTAATTTATAGAGGTTCACAGCTAAGGTTTTGCTCTTACTTTCAGAAGAGACTTGGAGTTGGACATTTGGGAAATGCTGCAACTGTTGAGATTTTGGGGGAGCAATTGTTGCATTTTCAGTTATTTGTGAGTCAGGTGTATTATGTTAGGTGGAATTACCAACTTGGCATTGTTTTTATTTAGAGATTATGGTTTAAGAAGATTAGTATGAGTGTGAATCTCATGAATCATGAATTGTGACAATTAATCAAGATATGTCAGCTTGATTGGATGAAGAGACAGCTAGCATATTATTGAAGCCTGCATTTGGGTGTGTCTCGATTGATCACGGAGTATGATGTCAGGTACGTGGTCCTTCACACGTTCTTCTCCAATGCCGTCCCACTTCTTGGCTTCCATAAACTGAGTAGGTTTGCTCTATATCCCTTCCTGCCATGAGAGTCCTGCCTTGAAGCTTTAATCAATGTTCAGTTATTCTTTTCCTCAGTACATCTAGAGATAAGATAAAGTTGTTCATTTTCATGCCTCTCTTAGAACAACTTGTTCTCTGTTTCTATCTTCATTTCTTATAATGTGACATTGATTTTTCTTCCTAATTGTGTATTATCAGGCATCAATCCAGTGTTCCTCTGTGCACATCTGTAATATTTGTAGAAAAGACTTTCGAGACATTTGCAGTTTTTCTTCCAGATTTGATTACCACTCCCATTCCATTCGAACTATTGGGCAAAGCACCAACCACACATCTTTGAAACACAGTGTTTTTCTTTCTTTCTTTCTTTCTTTCTTTCTTTCTTTCTTTCTTTCTTTTTTTTACAGCAAGCAAGAACAAACACAGCAACATTTGCTTTTGCTTTTGAGTTACATGCACATTCACCACAGATGCTGTTCATGACATGTGGATAAAAAATCTTCAGTCAATCAGTATCTTGCTACTTCGAGGAAAGATTGCTCATTCAGGTGAGCAAAGCAATTATCTGACAAGGCCAGGCAAAATCCTTAGAAGCTCACTCAAACGTAAGTAGCCATCAGAGACAAAAGTCATCTCATTTGGGCACTTACATCATTCAGTAGCCAATGAAATTTATTGTCCATGAAAGCAGATGTAAGAGATAGGACAAAAATGGAGTTGATGTTTATACTTAAAATATTACAATAAAAGATACATTGCTACTAAATACTCCTCCTTGCTTGGTGCACACTTATCCATCATTCTTGTCACTTTCTGAAGCAATTCTGGAAGTCCTCTTCTGTGAGTATCCTTGGTTGTGCAGTTGTAGCGGCTCATTATTCTGAATCGATTTAAAACCTCTGTTTTATGGTTACTTTGCCTTTGGGGAAGAGTCAGAAGTTGCATGGTACTAGGTCCAGTGGGTGAGGACCCTTCTGCCTTGTTCTCTTGTTTCCTTTTTGGTCTCTTTGAGCTTTTCATCATAATTCACTGTGTTTTCACACTGGTCATTTCGGCAATGCATGAATTCTATTTGGTTTTTATTTCAGATATGTCCGTCTGATGTATTCTCAAGGATTCTACATTCTCATTGAATTCATCGTTCAAATATCGAGCTGCTTTGGTGAGTTGCCCACTTTTTTAAACCTATAGTATTTACCTGAAATTCTCTGTAAGCAGACAGTGAAATTGCTGTGAACATCTGGTTTATTTTCCCTTTTAACTCATCTGTTTTTCATCCCTTCTTAAAAACTTTCATAGAGTTCTGCACCTGCTACTTGTTTTCGTCTCCACTGCTCTGCCTTGAGAGAGTTGGGACAATTTGGGGGTGTGGGGAACCTCTCAGTTGCTTCAAAGCTCAGGACGCTGAAGGGCACCTGAGGATATGGCCCCCTTGTCTAGCACAGGTGCACCATGGGATGCAGTTATAACTACAACTGAGCACAGGTGAACACACATGTGCTGGTTACGGTTCCTGTGTGTGTGTGTGTGTGTGTGTGTGTGTGTGTGTGTGTGTGTGTGTGTATCTCCTACTCTTTTTTTCCTTGCTTTTTTGGTGGTATTGCAGGTTAAGGACTAGAAAATTCAGAGAGTTTGGGGCTTACTTGGAGTGTTTAGTAGGAGGTTGCCTCCCCATGAATAATTTTCAGCTTTTATGTCCAGTGCTGGTATTTACTACTTCTATTACTTACTTTAAGCGATTTCAACTCTGTTCCTATGATTTGTGGAAAGAATTGCTTCTGGTTATGAAAATACCCACAGATCCACCTTTACACTTCTGTATGACAGTCCTTGAAGGCTTAATTCCTTCTCTCGTCTGTTCCCTGTGCATACTGTGACAATTCAATACTTGTGATTTTCTGCAATAAGGTGCAAGAGTGTGGTGATTAACTAATGGTCAACTTGTAATGCCCAGCTGAACTGAGTCGGTGTGGCTCTGGACATGGATGACCCACCTGAGGATTGTTGCCAACAGCATAAAAAGAGAACTGGAGGGGGAAATGGTGTACTGTTGATTCTCTCAACACTGACCCACAGTAACTTATGCTATTACTATTGCAATATTTTCTGTTGCTAGTGGAGGTATAGTTATTGAATTTAGTAGATATTTACTGTATGTAAATATTTGTTTTGTCTGTGTTTATACTATAATTATAGATCTCTTTTCTATGGTTAAGGGTGATACATCATAGGTTCTTAAGGTATATCAATATCTAGTTTGCCTTTGACTCTGTTATAGTTGCTGATTTTATTGCTATAAAGGGTGTCAATGCTGTTGCTGTTCATTGATTTTCTCCACAGGTCAGTTCCTGGGTTGTCTCAGTGCTATTAACAATGCTGTGGTCCATTCTCTGAGATCTCAGTGCAGTATACTCACTTCTCAAATTAAGATCTTGGAACAGAGGGAAAAGCCTAGACTTAGTCATGTTCAGAGTGTATCACTAAAAAAGACAGACACTAAGTAAAGAGATCTCTGTAGAAATGTCCAATTCCTTTCAATGTAATTGACTTGCAAACTTCAGTAGGGATGCACATGTATAGATTATACATGCACAAACACAAGAAACATGAGAAGATAAAGTAACAAAATGTCTTCACAAACTCACAACTCCCCTTATGCTGATCCATAGAGCACTAAAGGGGAAGAAATAAAAAAAATATGAATTATTCTAAGTGATCAAAAAGGAGATAGCAAAGCAGGTGAATGAAGTTTAGTGAGCTCACAGAAGATGTAACTAAGCAGAACAGATATAACAAACAAAACAATCAATTCATTTCCAGTTAGATGAGTTTGACAAAATGATACAACAATGAATGGCCAGTTTAGAATTGGAGTTTATTAAAAATACTAATCATAAATTAAGAGATTTAAAAATTCTGTTGAAAGTATGGGCCAATAGAAGTGCCCTAGGTGAGGACAGTGTAGAAACTACAAGACAGGCTATACGCCAGTGAACATCTACTCAGAGATACTTCAGAAACAAGAGAATGCTAAAATGGACCCAACAGCTCCTAGATGAACAGAAGACTAATCAAAGGTTAATTGTAATTAGCAAAATATCAGAAGGTAGCACAAAAAGCACAAAGAAGAGAAGGAAACTTTCCAAATATGGAGAATGAAATTAACCTGCAGATAAGTGAGACACAGAGTACATAATACCCACAATTTGAAGAGAATTCTGCAACACATCATAGTTAAAATCCCAGAACTCCAACACAAGTACAGAATCTTAAAAACTATTAGAGGCTGGTAACAAATCATTTATAAAGATAAACCCACTGGAATTACATCAGACTTCTCAATACAAAACATAAAGGCCAGGAGACCCTGGAGTGAAGTATTCTAAGCTCTAAAACAACTTTTAACACAGATATGTATTCTGCAAAAGTATTTTTCAGAGTTGATGGAGAAATAAGTTCCTTTCATGACAAAGGATGTTAAAACATTCATGGCCACTAAATGAGCACTCAAAAAATTTTCCAACATCAGCCTAGAAAGAGATAATGAAGACAACAGTGGCAAAAAGACTAATGGGATGAATGAACTAGGCAGAGTGTGTAGTGAAGCAGAAAAGTGAAATAGGAAAATAATTCAACGATAGGAGTAAATCCCTCCTTTTCAATAGTAACTCTCAGTATGAATAGTGTTGATTCCCCAATCAAAAGACACAGATTAGCTGGATGGAAAAACCTCAGCTGTATGTATATGAGAAACTCATTTCATCCAAAAGGAAATTCATGGAAGAAAAATCAAAGAATAGAAAACAATATTCCATGCAATGAGAAATCCAAAAAGACAGATGTAGCTACCGTATTCTCAGACAGAGTGGACATTAAGCCAAAAGTGATTGGAAGAGACAAAGGCTATAACACATTGGTTAAGCGAAAAACTCAACAAGAAAAGATAGCAATTAAGGTATACGTGTGCTCCGAACTCTCTCACAACTAACTTCATAAATAAAACAATACTGGATATAAAAGATCAATACATTTTTAGAGGGAGTTGTCAGTATCCCACTATTAAAAATAGGCATCACTTAGACGAGGTATCAAAAAGGAAATATCAGTGTTTTACCAAATCATCTAACAAATGAACTGAATAGATGTATCTTCAGGCTGGGATTTAGCTCAGCAGCATAAGTGCCTGCCTGGCAAGTATGAAGTCATGCGTTTGATCCTTGGTACCAAAAAAAAAAAAAAATATCTTCAGAGTGTTCCACCAAACAACAGAATACATATTCTTCTCAGCATCCCATGGAATTTTCTTCAAAATAGACCACGTACTAGCCAACATGGCATGTGTGAGTAAATGCAAAAGAATTGAAATTATTCCATACATTTTATGCAGTGAAACTAGAAATCAATGTCAGTGAAGCTACAGAGGAATTATGTAAAAATGTGGAAATTACATAATATACTCTTGAATGATCAATTGGTTACAGAATAAAACATGTTAGAAATTTGTTTCGACAATCCAATGGTAATGCCAGCACATTACAACATATCGGAACCCGTGTGTTGCAGTAAAAATAGTTTTAAGGTGGAATTGTAGGGCAGGGGATATAATTCAGTGGCACAAGCATCTGCTTTGCAAGCACAAGGTCATGAGTTCGATTCTCAGTGCCAAAACAAGTAAATAAATAAATAAAGGATAGAATTTTATAGATATGAACACCCATATAAGCAAAACAGAGCAATAATTGAATAATTAATGGTGTACTAAAAACCCTAGAAAAACATGAACAGTTCAAATTCAAAACTATATAAGGAAGAAAATTATAAATATCAGAGTAGAAAATTAATGAAATTGAGACAGAAGAATCAATGAAATACCTCATTCTTTGAAAGAATATACAAAATTAGACAAGCCCTTAACTAACCTTACCGAAAAATTAAAAAGACCCAAATAAATGTAAGCAGGAACAAAAAGTTTTCACAACTGACCCTGCTGAAAACTATAAGGTTATAATAACTACTTCAAAACCCTGTGCTCCAATGAATTCAAGAATCTAGAAGAAATGATAGATACCTAGATATATTTGAATTACCAAAACTTAAATGATAATATAAAATGAGAATATGAAAATCCTGAATAATCCGATAACAGCATTAAAGCATTAATAAGAAATATGTCAACTAACAAAATTACAGGAGCTGATTGGTTACTATTGAATTCCATAAGAACTTTAAGGAAAAATCTAATGCCAATACTGCACAAACTATTTAATGGAATTGGAAAAGAAGGAGTTTTTCCAAGGCATTCCCGGGAAGCTAGCACGAACCTGATTCTAAAACCATGCAAGGACCCTTCCTCTGAAAAAAAGAAACACAGACCATTTTAGTGAACAGAGATGCTTACTATCATTATTTTAGAAATACTCCTTGTGACACTAAAGGCCAATTCTTGTATGAGATATAGATCAAATCATACGGCAATTGTCAGATTTCAATCATCGGCTGTTTCCAGGTGCTAATCTACAACAAAATATCACCATAAAGCGTATCCTAGGAAGAAGAATGCCTGCGGATAACCCTCTGAAGCTACGTCAAATGCTGCAAGTTGCACATCAACACAGACCATTTTAGTGAACAGAGATGCTTACTATCATTATTTTAGAAATACTCCTTGTGACACTAAAGGCCAATTCTTGTATGAGATATAGATCAAATCATACGGCAATTGTCAGATTTCAATCATCGGCTGTTTCCAGGTGCTAATCTACAACAAAATATCACCATAAAGCGTATCCTAGGAAGAAGAATGCCTGCGGATAACCCTCCGAAGCTACGTCAAATGCTGCAAGTTGCACATCAATGGCAAGTTTCTGTCTGGATGTTTGGAATCATGACTCTGTCTTATTTCTTTGGAACTCCTTCACCATGAGGATTTCTCTCTCTTTCACTTGACCTCCAAAATGTTTCATAAAATGAAAATAATGGTGTGGAGTCCACGGATGGAAAAATCAAGATTCCTAAAGTGGCCCAGAACAAATAAAGGACCAAGCTCGGAGATGCAAGCTCACCCAGGCATGAATTGAATCACACTGAACATGGAACTGAAGCTGAACTTAAAGGCACTCACTTATGACAATCCAGGTACTTCTTTCTTTTGTAACTCCTGCA